AAAAATGTTTAAAATTTATAACTTTATATAAGTTAAAAAAATTGAGATATTACTGGACTAGACCCGGATGAGGTCAAAAAATCTCGGGACAGTCAAAATGTACGACACTGATCATAGGTGTGTGATTGTTAAAATCAGAACTGATAAACCCTAAGCTGTAAGTCTACTTTTTGTTTTTTACAGTGACTTTTAGTTTATAAAAACAAGTCGAATAAATATTTCCTTTACTAGAACAAAATATACACGTAACTGATCCATAACAACGCAAACTTTCACATGAGTGCCACATCTCTCCAACCACAACAGACTCAACAAACTCAGCAAAGGCCGGGTTTTCGCAAAATCATGACTTGGAGTAGCCGAAGAAGTAATAATAAAAAGCATCCTCATTTGTTTTATGATAGTGCTCCAGGTATGTCTAAGTTGAACGTTCTTGTTTTGACTTTGACATACAATTATTTGATTTCTTTTTACGTTGTTAACGTAAAACTGGAACATTACTTATAGATGTTTTATCAGTTGTTTTCGTTTATTCAGAACCTTTAAGGTTTTAGGATACACAGCGAAAAACATTTTTTTTTTTAAACGTAACAATTATTAATCTAACCTTACCTTTTTTAAACTTTTCCAACAAACTTTATTCATACCAACCACCAAATTACCTAAATAAATGAACTTTAAATTCTACGGTAGAAGGTGGAGAAGACCAGCAAAATATACCTGCTCCAGCTAGTCCTACTCCAAGTGTTAAGAGTCTTAAATCAGGGCGGCCGTCTCTTTTCGCCACTTTTGCTCGTAGAAATTCAACTAAAAGTGAACATTCTTCGAGGAGTCGTTCACCAAACAGTCGTTCACCAACCAGTCCTAGACCTTCTAATGATTCTTGTAACTTAACTGAAAACTTAATGGAAGATTTTCGCACACCTAGTCCTACACCATCACGAAATTCAATGATTTTTGAGCGAGACATTGAAAATCACGATCGTCTCAGCGTTCACGAAGCTATAGACCTGGCTATTCCTCCTGCTTTAAACAACGTAGCCGAAGCCTTTGTCAACGAAGAAATACCTATTATCACAGAAGAAGGAACTGAATCTATAATTAAGAATAAAAATGAATCTGATAGTCTTTGGATTAATACAATGGGAGAAGTTGAAGGACGGAAACGATTGTCATTAATAAATTATGCAGACATTGCTAATCGATCACCAAGTCCTGGACCGTTTGATCAAAAGAACACAATTGCAGAAACTTTGCGAGTGACGACACCAAGGGAAATGAACGGGTTGACGGTATTTGAGTGGAAATAATCAAAATTTTCCGGTTATGAGGGAAAAATGTTTAAAATTTATAACTTTATATAAGTTAAAAAAATTGAGATATTACTGGACTAGACCCGGATGAGGTCAA